CTACATTTTTGCTCTCAGTATGATTGTCCCAGCCGTTGGGGAAACGAACGCAGACTGCTTGGAAGGGGGTACTTAACCTGTGGTTAACCACAAAATCAACATTCTAATTGAGGCCACACGCCAGGATGTAGGTGGTCCTCGTTCGTGAGTCTTTCGGTAGTTTTCAGTTCAGGGAAATGTACACGAACGAGGATGCCCTGCAACCGTCAATTAGGCTGTGGTTAACCGCAGACCGCAGCTCCTTTGGTGGTTAATTAGAGGCATGCTCAGCTCGTAGGGTGGTCGGTTGTTCGGTACTTTCAAAGGTGACCGGGGTTAAGTGACGGCACACGCCAAGGGCAGGGTGGTCCGTCGTTCATATACACGAATGTGTAGATATAACTGTTCATGGAATGGGTTTGTAGAGTCTGAATACTGAACAGAGTATTAGATTAACAAAAGGGGGTTACTTCTATAACAGTTTGGAGGGTTCTTGTAACACTATGTAAAGTTAGGTGCCCAGTAATAAATTCAGTAGGATTTCCATTTAATAAATACCACAGTATGTTTGCCCATGAACAAATTCCACAGTAAGCATGCTCGTTTATTAAGGAGTAAACATAATGTGATACTTAACAGACAAAGTTACTGTGGTATATATTATTAATGGGTATATTTACTAAGGTATTTATTACTAAGGTATTTATTAATGGGCACACTTACTGTGATGTTATTTCTTAAAGTTTACCAATTAATAAATACCACAGTAACAATAGAAAACTATATATACCAGTAGAATAAAATACAGTGAAAATAAAAATCCAATGCAAAAAAGGTGTATGACATATCTTATACAAACTTCTGTAGATTCAGATATATGCAAATGACAAAAAATTGTATCAATGACCTACAAGAAAGAAAACCGCAAGTATGCTGTAACCTGTAAATTAGGTAAGGTGACTAAATCAATTGCTGGGACGATATTCCTTGGAGATAATCAGAGGTGGAATGGTATTATTCAGATTTTTTCTTTTTTCCAGCTGTGACAGTGAATGTGCTGAGCAACAACATTTATTATGATAAACAGATATCAGCTCTTTAAAGGGAAACTATAGTGCCAGGAAAACAATCTAATTTTCCTGGCATTATAGCTTCCCCTTTGTCAAGTCTTCCCTCCCCTTCCCCCCATCCCTTTCTCCCTGTGGTGCAGAAGGGGGTTAGTGACCCTTTCTGTCACTTACCTGGGTCCAGCGCCAATGTCCCTCGGCACTGGCTTAGCTCTGCCCATGCTCCTCCCTCGCCGACAGATGTTGGCGGGGGAGACCTAATGCGCATGCATGGCAATGGTCGTGCTTGCATTAGGATTTCCTCACAGGAAAGCATTATTCAACGCTTTCCTATGGGGATTCCATTGATGCTGGAGGTCCTCAAGCTTGGCGTGAGGACGTCCAGCATCAGTTAGTCTCCTTCAAGCCCGATTGTGACGGCTCCCTGTGCCCCGGCTCGGTTGCTCAGATCGGTTCAATGGTTTGGATTTTCATTTTTTTTTTTTTTTCAAATATAATTTTTTTTAAAGGGACATTATAGTCACCAGTGCAACTACATGTATTCCTGACCCTATATTCATGCCTCCTTAAATATAGTAAAAATCTTACTCTATTCAAGCCAGAAGCTGTAAATCTGCATGCTGTTAGACTCAGGAAAAACAAGCAGTCTGCTGACATGTGATAGCCTGATCCAATCACAGTGCTTCCCCATATGATTGGCTGAGACTGACAAGGAGGCAGATCAGGGGCAGTGCCAGCATGATTCAAACACAGCCCTGGCCAATCAGCATCTCCTCATAGCAGGGCCGGATTAAGAGCACAGTGGGCCTGGTGCTGACAATTATGATGAGCCTAATTATGAAATCTTATCGACCAAAAACACTAAAACAGTCATACCTCCCAAGGGTCATGTATCTGATGGAGATGGTGCTGGAGGGAAACTCATAGGATGCAGCTATAAGAAAACACATACTCTATGCTAATTTCTCTCTAATTTATGCTTTCATCTTTCAAGTAAATGCATAACCCCTAACAGCAGTGTCCAGTGAAGCAGGAAGTCAATGGGCTGGGTAAAAGGGTGTGCCACTGGCGCAAATCACGTTACAAGACCTGCCAAAAGGGGTGAACATGCCCAAAAAGGGGGCATGTTTGTCCGAAAAATTGGAAGGTCAGCCTGGCATGAATGCATGTCAAGCTGTCTGCCAATCATGCAGGTTGTCCAACTAAGGGCATACTATGCAGACTGCACCTTGAGCTTGACATAAATGCGTCTAATGATGCGCTCACTCCATTCTTTCTAAGGACTGTCCCCTAGCACTCGCTGGTCCACTTGTCTTCTTACTAGCAGGCAGAAGTTCCTGGTATATAGTCTGAGACAGAGAAAAGGTGTCTGTAGTGAGTGTAGAAGAAAGGGGACATGCCACAGTGTTAGAGAGACCAACGTCTGCATTACCTAAACTAACTTTAATGTCAGCCAGTGCACACAAGTTTTGTTCCCATACATCCCTCTTAAGCTTCCAAACTTAAAGGGACACTATAGTCACCAGAACAACTACAGCTTATTGTATTTGTTCGGGTAAGCAGAATCATTCCATTCAGGCTTTTTGCAGTAAACACTGAATTTTCTGAGAAAATAACTCCACTGGCCGCTCCTTTGATGGCTGCTAGAGGTGCTTCCTGGGGCAGTACTGCCTAGTGTGCAGCACTGTCATTCAGTGTCTCCAGCCTCTACATGCAGACACTGAACTTTCCTTATAGAGATGCATTGATTCAATTTATCTTTATGAGGAGATGCTGAGGGGCTGGCTCTGCCCCTGATCTGCCTAGTTGACTGTCTCAGCCAATCCTATGGGGAAGTATTGTAATTTGCTCAGACCACCACTTCTGAGCCAGCAGCTGCAGAATTGAATACAAGTTATATTTTACTATATTTAGGGAGGCCAGGTTGGTGGTTTTAACATAATAGGGTAAGAAATACATGATTGTGTTCTTGACACTATAGTGCTCCTTTAAGCAAGAGTATGTGAAGAGTAGTTAAGGTTGCCACCTTTCTTGGAAAAAAATACCAGCCTTAATCATTTGTATAATTAATTAGTTATGCGTGACATCACATGATGTAAATCACAAGGAGTGACATCAGAGAAAATTCTGTAAAATCACCAACAAACTACTCACAGTTTGATTCTGCTGTATAGATGGATTGCTCCCAGTGTCTCCCTGTCTCCCAGTTTCTCAGTCTCGCAAGTCACCCAGTGTCTGTGTCCCCATGTATCACAGTGTCAGTGTCCCCATGTCACCCAGTCCCCTAGTCTCCCAGTGTCTGTGTCCCCATTTCTCCCAGTGTCCCAATGTCTCAGTGTGTCCCCATGTCACTAGGATACTGGGGACACTGAGAGACATGGAGACACTGAGAGACCCAGGGACACAGAGACATGGGGACACTGAGGCATTTAGGGAAACTGGGAGAAATGGGGACACTGAGACACTAGGGACACAGACACTGGGAGACATGGGGACACTGAAACATTTGGGGACACTAAGACACTAGGGACACAGACATGGGAACACAGACACTGGGAGACTAGAGGACACTGTCTGGGAGACAGACACTTGGGGACACTGGGAGACATGGGGGCAGTTGTGGACATAGACATGTGGACACTGGGACATATAGGGACACTGGGAGACATGGGGACACCAGGCACACTAAGACACTAGGAACACAGACACTGGGAGACATGGAGACACTGAAACATTTGGGGACACTAGGAACACAGACACTGGGAGACTAGGGGATACTGGGAGACTAGTGGACACTGGCTGGGAGACAGACACTTGGGGAGACATGGGGACAGTTGTGGACATAGACATGGGGACACTGGGACACATGGGGACACTAGGCACACTGAGAGACATGGGACACAGACACTGGGAGACTTGGGGACACTGAGACACTAGGGACACTGGCTGGGGGACATAGTGTCTCCGTGTCCCAATGTCCCTATGTCTCACAGCGTCCCCATGTGTCTCAGCATCCCCATGTGTCCCAGTGTCTCCATGTTTTCCAGTGTCCCCAAGTGTCTGTGTCCCCAGGTCTCCCAGTGTCTGTGTCCCCATGTGTCCTAGTGTCTCAGTGTCCCCTAGTGTCTGTGTCCCCTAGTGTCTGTGTCCCCATATGTCCTCAAGTGTCTCAGTGTCTCAGTGTCCCCATATTTTCTAGTGTCCCCAGGTCTCCCAGTGTCTGTGTCCTAGTGTCTCAGTGTCCCCTAGTGTATGTGTCATCATGTGTCCCCTAGTGTCTCAGTGTCCCCATATGTCCCCTAGTGTCTCAGTGTCCCCTAGTGTCTCAGTGTCCCCATGTGTCCCTGCTGCCTTTCCCCCATCCCTCACTTACCTGAGCTGTAGAGCTGCTGTCTGGACTCTGTGTGCTGTTTAGCTGCTCCCCCACGGATCAGTGAGTAGTAGAGAGAAGCAGGGATATTCTGTAACTTCCTATCCCTGCCTCTCTCCACACACAGTGACATTTTTTTAATTTATTTTTTAAATGGGCCTGTTCCATAGGCCTGGGCCTGGAGCTGCAGCTCCATCAGCCCCTATGTTAATCCGGCCTTGCCTCATAGAGATGAATTGAATCAATGAATCTCTATGAGGAAAGTTCAGTGTCTGCATGCAGTGGGAGGA